CGGCGAAAACTACCTCAATCGTGCGAAGGACGCACTAGCAACGTTGGGCTTTCTGTGATATTCCGGTAGATCCTGGGCTCCGCGGGACCCTCCTGGTTGATGTTGGCCTTCTCGAGGCCGGGTCCCGCGGGACCGACCGTTATTGCTGGCGGCGCGGCCGCCCGGGAACCGATCGCGCGGCGATCGGACTCTTCGGTCGCCGACTCGACTGAAGTCCCGAGTTCGAGCCGCAACGCCAGCGGGCGGCGAGCGCCGAGCGAGGAGGGAAAGAAAGAAACGAACAACAAAAACTGGGCGTCTTCAGGAGGCCCAAGGCCGGGGAGGGCACCCTAGCGCCCGCGCGGACCTCGGACCGAAACAGGCAGGCCCAAAGGCAAAAAGACATGTATACGTGAAGCGTAATATTACACGCATACAAATTCTGCTAATATGAACCCTCTGCTCCCGGGAAGAGCTCGCCAGGCCTTCGCGGGCCCTCGCAGGCGGCTCAGTCCGCCTGCAATGTCGGGCTCGGGAAACCCGCGAGTATGCAGTCACGTAGTAGCGCGGGCTACAGCCAGAGGTCAAACGGCGGCGAGTGGCGGCGAGTGGTGCATATACACACGTCACGCAGGCACTACCTCACAATCACCATCATCACCATCGTCAACATCATCAACAGCATCAACAGCATCACCAGTATCATCATCATCATCATCATCATCATCATCATCATCATCATCATCATCATCATCATCATCCTCATCCTCATCCTCATCCTCATCCTCATCCTCATCCTCATCCTCATCCTCATCCTCATCCTCATCATCATCATCATCATCATCATCATCATCATCATCATCATACTCGTTCTTGCCTCCCTCGTCCTAATCTTCAAAACTTCGTATCCCTCTCTGTCGCTGTCCCTGCTCCTCACACGTTCGCTCCTCCGCTCCTTTCTGTCCCATCGCCTCCCGCCCGGCGCCGAGCGGCGAGCGCAACGTCCCCCGCCGCGCCCCCCCTCCGCCCACGGCGCGCTCTGGGGCCCCCACGCCGCAGAGGCCTTGGAGAACTTCTTCACCTGCGCCCCGCCCGCCAGGGGCTGCGCAGGACGAGGAGGGAAGAGGGCGGGTGAGGAGGAGGAGGGGGAGAGGGAGGAGGATGAGGATGGGGTCGGGAGGACGGGGAGAACATGACCCGACTCGAGATTGCAAGAAGCGGAGCAAGACATGTTTGATGGTCCCACCAGGTTGCGGCTTCCATCTTCGAGCGATGAAGGCGCGAGACAGCGTGCAACGCGCAACCAATCGCTCGCCGAACGCCATCGCTGCAGGGCACGCGTCCGAAGGGGAATGGGGCAGAGGCGGCGGCGGCAGCGGACGGCAGCAGGCATCGACATCCACAACAAGGAACAACCAGCGGAGGAGGGGGAGGAGATGATGCAGCGCGACGCCCGGCTATACCCAAAGGCGCGCGCTGCGCAAGGTGGCTCACTCCGCCAACCAACGCGGTGAGAGGCAACGATAGAAAGCGGGGGCGGGACGCGCGCGGTACTGGGGGGTGACCCGCGCCACGCCCCACAAGACCCGTGATGTCGCTCCGCGAATCCACCAGCGCCTGAACCCACACACGGTGGCCCGAGTGGCCAGGGACAGGCCGCACAGGTGCAAGCGGCGGGGCCCGGCCTCGCCAGCCGCGCCGCCGCTCCGCTCCGCTCCTTCAGCGGCCCGCCCGCTTCCCCGCTTCCACTGAGACCTCAAGAGTGGAGGACGAGCGGGACGGAGCAGGGAGGCGGGGGAGAGCCGAAGGGGACAGAAGATGGGGCACCCACGCCGTTCAGGAATCATGCTTCAAAAATCCCACGAGGGGGGAGGGGGGACGAGAGCTGACAGAGGGACGGGCAGCGTGACGGAAGACATGGCTCCTGTAGGGGTCAAGCGAGACCCAACCATCCTTGGACAGGCGGACCGCCTCCCAGGCACTCCCCGGCAAGCGGCTTCATCAGCGTCACGATGTTGTTCTCAAGTCTCCGAAAGGATTTACGAACGCGTCCCAGACTGACCGAAGACGCTACCGATGCCTGTCGCCTTGAGCCCCGCTGACTTCGAACAACACTGCCCACGGAGGCAAAGAGTCGATCATTTGGCGATTTCCTTATGACTGGTATTCATTACGGTTCCTAGCGCTGTTCTTGTGCGTCATGCGTGCGCCAATGTGTGATGTACGTGGCAGTATCCTGGTTCGCTGGTTGTCATGGATTGTCGGCGCGCCCCGTAATGTTGTTCCCACCAATGCGCCAAACATGACACGTTTTGCAACGGCGTGTCCCGATGAGGACGCGGAAACGATACGTTGTGGTTTGGTATTCACCGATGCATCCCGGGCCGCCGCACTCTGCCTCTAGGAGCAAAGATCAAGGGCAAAGGCAGGCGGGACAACAACAAAGGAATCTAAACAGCTGAAGCAAATCCGTGCATCCGCAGGGAGGTCGGGGGCAAACCATATCCACTTAGCGTCAAAAGTGCGCCAACTTAAGGGCATCCTGTAGGGCTGAAATCAAAAAGTGCAGGGAATCGACTCGAATACGAATTGGAAGTGTGCCACTGGCATGGAGTAGACGAGAAAACCAGGAGATAAGGAATACTACATTTCACTATCCAACCAATACTCGTACTAAACGAACCCTAGCGGCTGCTCAAAAATTTGGAAAACGTTTTGGGCCGATGTTGGTAACCGGCTAATGTATCGAGTTCCTGGGTCTCGGTGCAAGGCTCCAGACACTGTCAAGACTTGGCAAAGATATGCCCCCGATTCCAGGGGGGGCTGGGTTCCGGTGCTTTCAGAAGTGAAGATGCAAAGAGCAGATAGAGTATCACTCAGTAGCAAAATTTTCAAGCTTATAGATAAAGAACAGAAACAACGAAGTGAACAAAATGGGTTTCGGGATTATGATGGCCCCGGCCCAAGATGTCCTCCAGACGGCCCAAGAAACATCCAAGAAGCCCCAAGAGGGCTCCAAGAAGATCACGAAGATACCCAAATCAGTAGCTTTCTGGATGTTGGAGAGAGCGTGATCCACCGCCGCTTTACTGTGGAAAATTGCCCCCCTCTTCCTCTGGAGCCCGGGGGTCCCCCCCCCTCCGAAAATCCCCCCTCCCCTGGACCCCCCCCCCCTCTCACCCCCTCCCCTTCGGCAAAACCCCCCCTCCCCTAACCCCTCCCCCCCCTCGAAAACCGGGGGGGTCACTACCGGTTCGAGCCCCCCCCACCCCCCTCGAAAACCGAGGGGGTTCACCGGTTCGAACCCCTCCACCCCCCCACTCACACGCAACAACGAAACTCCCGGTCCCTACACGTCCGCGCCACATCCCCCACTGTTGTTCCCAGCGCCACTGTCCCCACCACCACTGTCCCCACTGGTCCCGCCACCGTCCCTACTGTCCCCACCAGTGCTCCCACCACTGTCGCACTGTCCCCACTGTCCCCACCACTGTTCCCACCACGTTTCCACTCTCCCCACTTTCTTCACGGCCCCAACCACTGCCCGACTATCACCACTGTCCCCACTGTCCCACTGACCCCTCCGCTGTCCCACTGAGCTGTCCCACTGTTCCCACCACTGTCCCCACTGTCCCCACCACTGTCCCCACTGTACCTCTGTCCCATTGTCCCACCGCCGTCCTCGCCACCGCCTTCACCACTGTCCCCACCACCACTGTACCCTCCACTGTCCCACTGTTTCCACCTCCCACTGTCCCCACACCACTGTCCCCACCACCACCGTCCCCACCACTGTCCACTGTCCCCACTGTTCCCACCATTGTCCTCACCACTGTCCCCACCACTACAGTCCCCACCACTGTCCCACTGTCCTCACCACTGTCCCGCTGTCCCCTCACCACTGTCCCCACCACCACCGTCCCAACCACTGTCCGCACCCCCCCTCGGTTTTCTTGAAAGGGCTCTGCTGTCCTCAGGTGTCATCTTCACTGATTTCCGACTCTGGGTCGATCTCCGGAGCCCCGGCCACGGCCCTGAGATAGGCCGCGAGTTCGTCCCTGGAGGCTGGGAGCAGCCAGAGCGGGCCCCACTGGGGCCGAGGTGCCACGCCGAGGACGACCCTCAGGAGGTAGTCGGCCGTCTCAGCCAACCGCAACTCCCAAGATGAGATTATCGTGGCCAGGCTGCGGCCACCGCGCCTGGTGCGGCCACCCCGGGCCACCATGCGAGGATGGAGGGGGAACGGTTTTCCTCCAACGCGCACTTGAGCCAAATCGGCCAAGATGGAAAAAAGGTTGGGGCCAATCCGCATGCAGGCGCAATGTCGCACCGCATTTGGATCGGCCCCCTCCCAGGTTCACGCAGGCGTAGGGTCGCACCGCATTCCCCTGAGAGGTGCAAGCACGAACATGCTCTTCCTGCTGCTGGTGACGTCTAAACCGTGACACGCACGGGGGGTATTCCGTGACACATCAACGCTTTGCTATGCTATACCTCACGCGCCGCCCAGCGCGGCAGCAACGAACATGTCACGAATTTCGTCTTGGAGGCTGTCCTGCCAGCGTGGCCGAAATCATGGCCACTGCTGTTCTTATAAGCACTGGCGAAGATATGCCGCAAATGTGCCAGCCTACACTATACCCACACACCGCGCAGCACGGCGCCGCACAAACCTATGCACTTTGGCTGGGGGGCACAGGCAACAACACTTGGACCAAATTTCCCGCCCCCCTGTTTTGAATGCGAATTCGGGCACGCACGCTGCTGATGATGCTCGTGCTACGCTCCCTGACCAATGCTCCTCCTCTTCGGCAGGGCTCCGCGGCCCGTCCGAAGCTTCGCGAGTTCACCGACTCGCTGGGGCATGGGGGCGCTGGCATCGCAAAAACAACAGAAATAATCAAAAGGCAATCTCAGAATATTAGGTGTCGCCCCGACGCCGCTGCACAGCAGAGGCCCCCGTTGTCACTGATGGAGGGCGTGCTCGACGCACGACGCAACAACGATGCCTGCGGCAATATTTACAACACCCGGATGCCGAAGTGGCCCCTGATCCGGGCCATGGCGGGCACCGAGAAGATCTTCGTGGGGCCATCTGCCCGCTGCTCGTTCGACCTAACGTGGTCGAGCAAGAGGGTCTCGCTCTCCACCCTGCTGCGGAGGGCCGACGCCCTGTTGGAGAGCGCGCGCGTCCTCCAGCTGCCTTGGCCCCGGGCCAAGCACAGCGACGCAACGCTGTCGCCCCGCATCCTGGGGAGCGGCACCTGCGCCATCATGCTCGCGAGGCTCGCCTCCGCGCCCTCCAGCATGACCAAGCCCATCGCCAGGGCCGCAATCTCAGCCTCCGCCGTAGATCTCGCCACCTGTGCCTGTTTGACGGATCGCCAGTCGATGAGGCACTCCCCCGGGCGCACTGCGACGCCCGTCTGGGAGCACTCGGTTTCGAAGCTGGCGTCGGCGAAGGCGCGCAGCTCGAGCCCGTTCCCGTCGCCGCGCACCGCCTGGAAGAACAGCCCATGGCGGCGCGTGCCCAGGAGGTGCCACATGATGCGCTTGCCAAGGCGCAGCGCCCACTGATCAGTGCTGTAGTCGCATGCGCTGACATCCGGCTGACAGCGAAGGCGATGTCAGGGCGGGCGCGGCCCGACAGCCGCAGCAACCCGCCGCCCAGCTTCTGGGCGAGGCGCACGTCGCAGAGCTCGGGCTCTGCGTCCAGCTCCTCCCCCAGCGGCTCGATGGAGATGGCGCCGCACGCATTGGCATTCGTCATCCGCCACCCGGACAGGATATCCTCCAGGTAGGCGGCCTGGTGGGCCACGAACGCCCCGTCGGCCCTCGCCCCCGCCTAAAGCCCAAGGTATCGGGTCGTGCCAGGGTGCGCGTGGTCGATGAGCGATTGGACCGAGCGCGTCCCGGTCGCCATCACCACCGCCTCCACTGCCATAATCGCATCGGGCGCGCCGGCGAGCAAAAAGTCGCCCACGTAGACCAGCGCCAGGCCCAGCGACTTCTGCTCGCTCTCGGTCTTCGTCGGTGCGCCCTCCACGATGTTCCAGACGCAGGCGTCGCAGCGAGATTGGACCAACCTGCACTGCGCGCCGTTGACCTCGAACCTCATCGCCCGCATCTGCCTGCCCCGCTTCAAGCCCCAGGCTCTGGGGGCGATGCGGAGGCCGCAGATGCCCTTCTTGGCCCTCCAGACCTCGTCGCGCCCAGCGAGCCCATACGAGGAGAGGATCCCCGGCGGGCGCGCCAAGACCTCCCCAGCCTCCTCCGGGAGAGGCGCATTCAGAAAGGCCGTGGACACGTCCAACGCCTTGAGCGCCCAGCCGCAGGAGCTCGCGATGGCGAGAGCGGATCCGACGCGGAGGATCTCCACGTTGCTCGTGAAGACGACCTCACCCGGCACCTGTTTCTGGAAGTTACCGCAAACAACCCCGCGGAACTTCTTGCGCCTCCGCTGCGCCAGATCCGAAGCATCTGGCGCCTTGATGCCAGCAACCCCCTTCATAGGGAGCGCGTCTTTGGTTCGTACCTGCATATTCTCACTCTCGGTGAGGGTTTCGAAGACCTCCTTCTCTGCGAAGGAGGCGAGCTCGGCCTCCATGGCCAGCTTCCACTCGTCACGCTCGGTGCCGATCGCATTCCGCAGCTCGGTCATCGAGACTGGCTGCATGCCGCTGTCCTTGATGATCTCGACGAAATCCGGCGCGCCGTCCGAGTCGGAGTCGGCGGCGGCAGCAGCGGCAGCTGAGTCAGAGGATGCAGCAAGGGCCCGGGGGGACCCAAGCGAGAAATGCGCGACCTCCGCCGCCGCCCCTCCTCCTGCTCCTCCTGGCGCCTGCTTGCTGCGAAGCCGCAGCCTCCGATGGTCATGCGGCTGGTCGGTCGACGGGCCCTGGCGGCGCCTGTGGTCGCACGTGCGCCCACGATGTGCCCCCAGGCGGGCGGGGCGCGTGATCTCCCTCGGAGGGGGTTCAGGTCCTCAGACTCCTCCTGGTTGCCGTGCTCCTCCTCCTCCTCCTGGATGTTATGCTGCTCCTCGTGGCTGTCCTGCTGCTCCTGGTCGTGCTTCTCCTCCTCCTGGTCGCCGTGCTCGTTGACCTCCTGCCGGGCTCCACCTCCAGGCACGACGTCGACGACGAAGCTCGACGAGGTCTCGAGCTCCCACCTCTCGAGGCCGTTCTGGGCAACCTTGTGGCCAACCAAGGACGCCCCGGACACGAAGTCGCGCATGCCGAAAAACCGCCGGGGCACAGCCCGAGGCGCGAACGCAAACTGCGGCACCTGCTTGATCCTGCAGGTGACGGGCTGCCCGAAAATCGGACGCCCAATCGGCTTCTCTTGAGCCTCGCGCCGTTGGAGAGGTGCTGCGTGCACGACCGAAGCCGGCCACGGCTGCTCGCGGTCTGCCGCGTCCATCGTCATGAGCATGGCTCTGCCCCTCTGCTTGATGATACCGACGCCCCTCTCGGCACGGGGGTTGTTATCGGCCTCGTGCCCTGGGGTCGATGTGACTACGATCCCTTGGGTGGCGAGCGCTGCGCTCACCTTCGGGCCCGAGAACCCCCGCGCCTGGTCAGCGTGGACGCGGCGGGCCACGCGCGCCTGGAACTCGAGCTCCACCTGCGCGATCATCAGGCGCAGGGCCGCAAGCACCTCCGCCGTGTGCTTGCCAGCGATGGGGATGACGTAGTACCACGTCTGCACGCCCTCCTCCCCGACGGGTCCGTCCGCCGGCACTGCGGCCACCGCTGGCAGCGCCGAAGCCCGCGTGACCATCGCCACGGCGTCGTCTGCAGCCAGCGGCTGCCCTGCCGCCGCAGCGGCAGCCTGCCCCCCCTGATCTGCGGGCCTCTCACCCACGCCCGCGGCTGCAAGCGGCGGCGCCCCCGCGGCGTCGCGCGCGCGCTGCTCAGCCCCAGCGGCGGCAGCGCGTTCAGAAGCAGTCATAACCGCGTAGGCGCAGAGGACGAAGTACCGCGCCGTCTTGGGGCGGCCCTCCGGCAGCGCCCCTGGCCAGAGCCCTGCAGGATGGGGGCCAGATATGTCCACGGACAGCTGGCCTCCCGGCCGCGTCGGCGCATCCAGCCGCCAGTGCGCCCTCGTGCGACCTGCCGCCAGGCGGCGTTTGTAGCAATCGGGGCGGAAGGAAGGGTGTCCGCGCCTCTTATGTTCCTCCAAGCTGAGGCGCTGCACAGCGGCCACGACGACATCGAAGTGCGCCGCCAACATCCGAGCGCCGGCTCGAGTGCGCAGCTGCTGCCTCATCGCGCGGAGGCGCTGGGCGTCGTCCTCGTAGATGTGCGCCGTGGCACCCTCGAGCTCCAGCTCGATCGCACCCTGGCCTGGCAGCAGCGCGCGGGCTCGATCCCGACCCCGCTGAAGATCGAGGCTGAGTTCGGCGACGTACGCGCCGATCGGGAACAGGGCCTGCAACTCCGTGGGGGAATGGACATACACCACCTCGCCCGCCCCCATCAGCACGCCAGCTTGCTGGCCAGTCGCGCGCGCGAGGTCGACGCGCTGGCAAGGCGCGGGCGGGCGCCAGTTAGGCCGCAGGTGCTGCAACTCACGCGTGGCCCCAGTGTCGGCCAGCAGCCGGCGACGGCCTGAGCCTCCAAGGAGCGCGCGAGCCGCGCGCAGATCCACCTGGAGCGTCCGAAAGGCAGGCTGCTGCTGCTGCTGCTGCTGCTGCGGGGGAGTGGCCGCAGCCTGAGCTGAGGCTGCACTCGAACCCGGGGTCCCCGATGGCTGGCCCCAGCCATCCTGCCAGGCAGGGCCGGCAGCAGCGGCGGCGGCCGAAATCGGGAAGAGGCTTGCCGCCGCGGCATCCATGACCACCTGCTGCAGCGCCTCGGCGGTCATCGCAGCCGCGGGCGCAACTGCGGCAGCCGATGCTGCCGACGCACCTCCAGCGGCAGCGGCTGCTGGGGGCTTCGGCCGCGGGCGCGCTGCCTTGTCATGGTCCTCGGCCCCGCAGTAAGAGCAATTGCCCTCGCTCACCTCGAGCTTCCTGTGGTGGCGAGTGCAAGTCGCGCCGGACTTGCAGCCGGCCTTGCTGTCGAAGAACCGGCGCGTTTCCTTGCATCCTGTCGCCGCCATGGCAGCGGGTTTAGCCTTCGCCTTCGCCTTGGCGCGGGCGTCGGGCTTGCCGCCCTTGGCGTCGGGCTTGCCCTGCTTGCCCCCGCCCTTGGCCTCCTTCGCCTCCCGCGTCGCTGCCAGCGCCTTCACGCCCTTCCCCTGGGGCGCGTCGCAGAGCTCACGTACCTCGGCGGCGAGGTACCGCCAGAACTCTTCCATCTGCTGCTGCGAACCCTGGCTGGCGCCCGAGATGCCGTGCTGCATCTCCCACGCGAACATCCTGCACTGGAAATTCGCGCCGGCCTCGGCCATGCCTTTGACGATGCCTCGCAACGTCGCCAGCTGCGTGACCGGGCCCGGCGCAGCCGTGCCAAGACGCTGCAATCGAGTGAGCGAGAACTTCCAAGAGTTCAGCTCCTGGTAGCAAAGCGCTAGGGCGGCGGCCTTGTTATCGCGCCGCCCCACCTCCCTCGGCGCCAGCTTCCGGTCGCGAAGGGTGCCGGGGCCGGCCTCCACCATGATGCCGAAGAGGAGCTCGGTCACCGAAGTCTGTCGGGTGGCCGGCGCGCCGCTCTGCACCTGCTCGGGAACCGAGTCCAACAGCAGCGGACGCAAGCGCAGCTCAATGCTGAGGCTCTGGCAGTCGGCTCCGAACCACTCTGCGTTCGGCTTCACGATCGGGCGCTCGAGCGGGCCCCGGCTGAGGTAGTGCGCCTCCCTCGCCGCGCGCTCCGACCGCTGCCAGAACAAATCGATGGAGGGATGCCGCGCCCCGATCCCCATGGCAGCTCGCTGCGCCCACTCCTCGACTCCTCGAAGGCGTGCGCCTTGTTCACGCCGGCGACGAACGCCAGCTTCGGCACGTCGCCGTCTTTCAGTTTCGCCAACACCGTCTCCAAGCCAAACGCGGTTCCTCGGTGCTGCTCGTCGGCCCCTGCCGATGCCGAGCCGGCAGGCGGGGGCGGCGGGGGCGGGGGCGGGCCGCCTGCTGCAGGCATCCATCCGCCACGCCCTGGATCACCGCCAAAACCACCTGCACCTCCGGGAGGTCCTCCGAAACCTCCTCCATCGCCACCACCTCCGTGTCCTCCTGGCGGCCCGCCTGGAGGCCCGCCTGGCCATCCAGTGGGCCCCCGGCCGATCGGAGGCAGCCTGGGCGGCAGTCCGCCGGGCGGCAGCGGCGGCTGAGGAATGCCATGAGCGCCAGCTGCCGCCTCAAAGCCAGGCACCTGAACTCCGCCAGGTGCGACTGCTGCTTGGTCCGCGGCCGACGCTGCCACCGCCTGGTCGGCATCGGACGCGGGCTCCCCGAGACCAGCGATGGGCGGAGCCACCTCCTCGGCCTCGCCGTGCTCGCTGCTCGTCGCCTCGGCGCGCGGCGCACGAGGCATCGATGGTGGTGGAGAGCCCTCCGGCGCCACTCGCCCCCCAGCAGAGGGCTGTGCGCTGGCCTCTGCTCCGCCGCTCGCCTGCGAGGGCGGCGTGCCTGGGTCCAGACGATCCCCACGCACTGGGGTCCGATACCCTGGCGTTGATGCCCCACCTTGGGCTGCGGCTGCTGCTGCCGTTGCGCGGTCGGCGAGCCGCTCTGCCTCCAGCTGCTCGCTCCTGCGGCTGAGGCGCTGCGCCTCCATGCGCAGCTCTCGCAGCTCCGCCAGCTGCAAATCAATCGCGCTGGATGGCGGGCGCTGCAGGTCCTGGCCGGCGTCGGGCGCGTCCGCCCTGCCAGCCCTCTCAGCAGCTGCTGCGGACGGCTGGTCGGGAAGCTGCGGCTGAGCAGGCAGAGGCATCATCGTGCCTGCCGCCCACGTCTGGCGCGCTCCCGCGGCAGCGCCCACAGCCAGGCGCTGCATCCCCGTCGCTGCGGTGCCGAGGGTGGCGCCGACAGCCTGGCCAGCAATCTGCGCACCAAATGCCACACTGCGGCCAACCTGCCCTGCGAGGCCGCTGGACCAGGCGGCCTGCCGACGACCGTATGCGACGTCGCGGTCCGCGAAGCAGGCGAAGCAGACTGCATGCCCCTGCCAAGGCTGCATGCAGTGGCTGTTGACGTCGGTGAGGCAGATGTCGCACACCACCGACGGGCCCACGATGACGTCCGAGCACGCCATGCACCGCGCGCGCATAAGCGCAGCGGGCGGCGCCAGCGGCGCTGCCGGGAAACCATGGCCAAGCGGAGCTCCAAACGCAGGGTGGTAGAATCCCTCGCTTGGGCTCATAACCCTTGAAAGGGCTCTGCTGTCCTCAGGCGTCATCTTCACTGATTTCCGACTCTGGGTCGATCTCCGGAGCCCCGGCCACGGCCCTGAGATAGGCCGCGAGTTCGTCCCTGGAGGCTGGGAGCAGCCAGAGCGGGCCCCACTGGGGCCGAGGTGCCACGCCGAGGACGACCCTCAGGAGGTAGTCGGCCGTCTCAGCCAACCGCAACTCCCACGATAAGATTATCGTGGCCAGGCTGCGGCCACCGCGCCTGGTGCGGCCACCCCGGACCACCATGCCAGGATGGAGGGGGAATGGTTTTCCTCCAACGCGCACTTGAGCCAAATCGGCCAAGTTTGAAAAAGGTTGGGGCCAATCCGCATGCAGGCGTAATGTCGCACCGCATTTGGATTGGCCCCCTCCCAGGTTCATGCAGGCGTAGGGTCGCACCGCATTCCCCTGAGAGGTGCAAGAACGAGCATGCTCTTCCTGCTGCTGGTGACGTCTAAACCGTGACACGCACGGGGGGTATTCCGTGACACATCAACGCTTTGCTATGCTATACCTCACGCACCGCACAGCGCGGCAGCAACGAACATGTCAAGAATTTCGTCTTGGAGGCTGTCCTGCCAGCGTGGCCGAAATCATGGCCACGGCTGTTCTCCTGAGCACTGGCGAAAATATGCCGCAAATATGCCGCCCTACACTATGCCCACACACCGCGCAGCACGGCACCGCAAAAACCTATGCACTTTGGCTGGGGGGCACAGGCAACAACACTTGGACCAAATTTCCCGGCCCCCTGTTTTGAAAGGGAATTCGGGCACGCACGCTGCTGATGATGCTCATGCTACGCTCCCTGACCCACGGTTTTCGAGGGGTGGGGAGGTTCGAACTGGTAGTGACCCCCCCCCGGTTTTCGAGGGGGGGGGGGGTCGAACCGGTAGTGACCCCCCCCCCTTTTCATGATGAACTGCTGGGGGGGGGGAGGGGCTCGAACCTGTAGTAAACCCCTCGGTTTTCCGGAAGGGGGGGGGGGGGAGGGGTTCGAACCGGTAGTGACCCCCCCCGGTTTTCCGCCAGCAGCGGTAGAACACGCTCTTTCGGATGTTGGCGTTCTCGCCGTTTCGCGGTTCCAAAGCTATCAGACGGCGCCAAGACGGCCCCCCAGACGCCTCCAAGACGGACCCACAGACCTCCAAAACAACCCTAAAGCCCCCCCACAGGGACCCACGACTGCCCAGAGAGGGCTCCCAGACGGCCTGCGCTAGATGTCCCCTGGAGGCCGGGCTCAAGCGGCCCCTGGAGGCCTCCAAGAGGCCCCTCAGAGGCGCCCCAATAGGCTGCAAGGAAGCCCTCAGGAGGCCCCAACAGGGCCTCTTGACTCAAGAAGCCTCCTCTGTTTCATGGTCGTCCTCCTCCTCCTCCTCCTCCTCATTCTATTCCCTCGCCTCCTCATCTTCCTCTCCAGAGTGTTCCCCTAAGGTGTTGGACAACGGCTGAGAAAACACAGTTCAATAGCTTCGATTGACTTCGGCCCAACGTTTGGCCGCATGGACGTGTCCAAAGGGGGCGGTGGTGATTCGCCGTGGGCGTCTTTGATAGATGAGCAAAGATGCAAGACTGCCGACGCGTTAATAGAGAACAAAAGCGCGTTTCGTCATGTCCGGCAATGACGGGCATCATGGGGGGGGGGCGAGGGGGGTATGACGTAACGCCCCCCCCCCGCCGTGTGGCTCCGGCACCGCAGCCGCGCCCACGCACGCGACGCGACGAGAGACGAGCGACGGCGACGGCGACGACGACGACGACCACGACGACGACGATCACGACGACGACGACGTCGACGACGCGAACAGCATGTAGGTGGCGATATGCCCCACTGCGCTCGCGTGCACCACGGCGCGCGTGTATACCACAACGCCTGCGTACACCGCAACAACCGTGTGCAACGCAGCACCTGTGTACACCACAATGTTTGCGTACACTACAGCGCCGGCGTAAAATCACACACCGCAGCTACCATGTGCAACAGCGCCTGTGTACACCACAGTGCTTGCGTGCACCGCAGCGCCTGTGCACGCCACGGCGCGTGTCTACACCACAGCCTCCGCGTGCAACGCAGCGCTGGTGCACAGTCGGGGCGTTGACTTAAGGAACTCTAAAAAAGGAGCTTCGACTTCCTATCGAAAACATAAGGAAAACCTGAGGCAAGTTGTGAAACACTTAAGGAACGCGGAGCCCCTCCCCAACCAAAAGGGTTCCTTCTTCAGGGCCCCGACTGTACACCACAATGCCTGCGTGCATAGGACATATGTACGTGAGGATATGCTGCGGACAGTTAGACGCCACGCCACGAAATTGCTGATAATCGAAAGCGACGTTTTTCCCTCCTCCTTATCCTTCTCCTTCTCCTTCTCCTCCTCCTCCTCCTCCTCCACCTCCACTTCATCCTCCTCCTCCTCCTCCTCCTCCTCCTCCTCCTTACACCCTGTCGTGCGGGTTGGCGCTACAGCGCACGTGCGCATCTCAGGGATGCGTCAAGTTTTTTTCACCCATCGGGGCTCTGGAGGCTCCTGGGGGTCCCAGTTGAAGGCGGTCGACTCCTTGGTCAAGCAATCCGAACTCGGCCGTGTCGAGGGGGGGGGGGGGGGGGGGGGGGGGGGGGGTGGGGGGGGGGGCACTGTCCGAGGGCCCCCCACTGTCCGAGGGGAACTCCCACCTGCCGCGCGGCGTGCCAGGCATCCGCGGCGGCAGCGCTCCCCCACGCGGAGCCCCCGCCCTCGCCATCTGTCGAGAGGCCCAAGCACGTGAGTCGCACCAGACCTCGGCGAGACTGGGGTGCCTGCGGGCCGCGACACGAAACCTCGCCTCAAAGACAAGCTCCGCTGGGGCAGAACGCCCGAGATGACGGGCATTCAAGGCGGTGGTGAACGCATCTATGCATGCAGCTCTTTGGAGGCCCCTGGACACATCATCAAACGCAAGGAGGAGGCAAGAGGGAAACCAATGAAATGAACGCTCACTTTGGGAGACCTCGAGGCCCCGCCCCATCCACCTTCTGAGAAGAGCCTCGAGACGAGGGCAGGTCGAGTAGTGACGGAGGAAGTCGGTGCCCAGACCATTGGGGCAGACGCATTCAAACAAACAGCCACGAGGTGAATAATGAAAGCGCGAGCTCGTACAAATTGAACCCGTCAGAATACGAAAAGGTGCGATAGCCAAATACATACTTGTAGCAGCACGTACTCTTCGAACGCTGTGTTTGAAGGTATTGATGTGCTCAATGGTAACCTCGGGGCAGAAATGGTGGGCACGACGAAAAGATCGATGCGATGGATTCACTCTTCTCGGATTCCCGAAACGCGTTGTACAACTTATGTTGGCGCTTGTTGGTGTCGGGGGAGATCCCCAGAGACAGCCCGCAGTACCATTCCCGAAGGGGCCGAAGGTAACTGAATAACCCATGAGCATGCCAACCTTGGTGCCAGAGAAAGGGGATGCGCTCCAGGTCCATCCGAGAACGTTCCAAAGTGTCCGGGAGCCCAAACAGCCACCCAGACCGCATCAGGTAACAAAGGGCCGTCGCCTTGGCAACATCATCCAACTCAACAAATTCCGAGGCGAACCCGACTTGCGAAAGCTTCGTGGCGACGCGGTAGGAGATCGCGTTCCGCGGCCCTGAGGTCAAGAGCAGGGCGCTGTTGAGGTGCGCCTTCCTCAGTCCCTGCGACGGCGGATATAGTTGCAGCCGAAAGAAAAGTTTGCTCGCGCACATATCTCTAAAAGCAGCGGCCGATTGAGCGATGCCTAGGCCCATGACCCTCGTCTGGTGCACCCCCTCGACGAAGCTGGGAAGCATGGGGGACCAAACCTGCTGGGAACCATCGGGGCCGATCGGGAACCCCAGGGTGGCCGAGGGGAGGACCTGAATCTGGCTGTAGGGGGCACCATACGAGTCGAGTAGGGCACGTAGCGGGGAAGCGCCCAGCGCCCCACGCACCACGACTTGGCACTTGCGAAAGTTCAGCTTGAGATTGGCAATCGGCCGCAGCTCGCCGAGGGAGTCAAGCAGCTCCTTCAGCCCCCGGGTGGCCCTCTCAACTCCAAAGCCAAAATCGTCCGCACAGGCGAGCGCAAGGCCGAAGGGGGGGGCATGCTTGTCACGAATCCAGGCTAGGATCGGGTTCACAGCGAGCACGAACAAAAACATCGAGGCAGGGCACCCCTGTTTCACTCCAGAAGAGATTTTGATACTCATATGCCTTTGCCCACGGAGCGAGATAATTGCAGCGTTGTCGGCGTGCGCCATTCGGAAGAAATTGATGAGACGAGCAGAGATGCCCATTGCCTGCAGGACGAAAAAGAGCCAGGGCTGCGCCAAACTCGGGAAAGCAGAGGCGAAATCGGTGAGGCGCAACGCTGCGCCCTCCCCGGCCTTCGCGCGCCTCTCCACCCCCCAGGCCTCCGCTCTCACCGCGTTCTCTATCATGCCCCTCCCTCCCACGCACTTCTGCTCCTCCCCGATCAAATCAGAAGCATCCGCCGCAATGGGCGCAATGCAGGCAGCGGCCATGATCTTCACATCAGTATTGCCAAGGCAGATCGGTCTCGTGGCCGAAGCAAGGCGATTGAGCGGCTGCCCTGGGAGGTCACCCTGAAGCACTCCCTGCAGCAAGAAGACGAGTAAACTGCTGAGCATGTCGGCAGGGGGGAGGTGATGCGGCCGTTGAAGAGGGTGAGGTAACAGGAGTAGAGGACGCGGGCGGCAAGCGGATGCTTCCGCACAGCATATGGCAGCCCGTCAGGACCAGGGGCGCCCTGCCCTCGCGAGAAAACCAGCCGGCACCAGGACTCGTGGGGCAGACGCCACTCTTGAGCGATGGTACCCCGCAACGTGCGGATGTGATCGGCAATCTCCTGCCACTTGGATCTGTCAATCTCGGGCGCGGCAAATTCCTTCTCCCAAAAGGGCACCGGCGCCTCGGCGGCCCCCGCGTCGGAGGTAGAGCGGTTCCCGCCCCCCAGGGCCGCTTTTCCCAGGGCCGTCCGCCGTCGGAATGTTTGCCGCAGCTGTTTTCGACGTCGAAGACGAGCTTGCATCGATCGTTTGGTCTCCTCGTTGGTTCGAGTGAGCCTAATCGCCTCCTCTTCCCCCTCTAAGACCTGACGGTGAATGCAAAAGATATGCTGCGCGAGCCCTTCGAAGTGGATGCGTCGATCGGGCTCGTCGAAGTGGTGCCGTAAGCGGGGGCAGCAGCCAAGGGAGAG